GTGTGCTTGCTGACGAGCAGAACACAATGTTCGGCTGGCAGCGGTGTGTAGTCGAAATTTGCCTGCTGGAGAAATCCCTGCCCAGAGGCCTCGAAGAGGACGCGAATCCAGCGCCTCTGAAGAACATATAAATCTGCTCGAAGGGAGTAGCAAGTGGCGCCAGAAAGGGTGAGGGGATCGGTCTGGGTCGCATCGAGGGCTTCCTAGCACAGCGCCGCTATAACATTCAACAAAGTCATGCCAGCAGGGCTGTAAACGCAAGCCCTTGCGTCCTCGACATCTAAGCAGCAAGAGTACCCCTGATCACCGTCCTCGCAGGTGACGCAGTGCTGACAATATATGAAAGAAAGCAACTGGTCGAAACCATTTGCCCTTACCAGCCAGCAGGCCCAACCAACCCAACCTAACCAAAGAACCCGCCAAACAGCCCAACCAGCCCAATCAGCGTTTTGATAATGTGTGGGTCTCTCGCTTTTTCGGATTTCCGACGCTCTAAGACGGCCCAAGAGGCCCCAAATACTGTCACCAGACGGCCCCAAAGGCCCCCAAGACGGCCCCCAAGGCGGCCTAAGAAGGCCCCAAGACGGCCCAAGAAGCGACCAAGACGGCCCACGGCCCCAAACTGGCTCCAAGAAAGGTGTGAGAACGGACCCGCGAACCGAAAATTCTACTCTTCCACCTCAGTGGAGCCCCAGGAGGCTCCAAGAGGCGCCCAAGATGCCCCAAGAGGCTCCCAAGAGGCCCCAAGAGGTCTCCGAGAGGCCCCAAGAGGCACCACAGCGGCCCCCCAAATGCTTCAAAACTGCCTCCAAGAGGCCCCCGAGAGGCCTCGCACGAGATCCCAACGAACGTCCACGAAGCCTCAGACCGACAACCCAGGCACGGTGGCGGGATGGGCCGAAGGCCATTAGAGTACCCCGAACAATGATTTATTGCACTTTCGAAGTGTACGCAATGCGGTGTAGCGGCAACGGGCGGCAACCCCGCAAATCATCGGCATGCCCGCACATGCGGCAACGGGCGGCAACCGACGGCAACGTGGCGAACCCTCGGCATACCCCCACAGGCGGCAACACGGGCGGCAAAGCGGCAACCTGGGCGGCAACGTGGCGAATCCTCGGCACACCCACGCAGGCGACAACGGGCGGCAAAGTGGCGAATCCTCAGCATACCTACGCAAGTAGCGGGCGGCAACGTGGCGAATCCTCGGCACACCCACGAAGGCGGCAACGGGCGGCAACGTGGCGAATCCTCGACATACCCAAACTAGCGGCAACGGGCGGCAACGTGTCGAATCCCTGCCATACCCACACAGCGCACGAGGCGGCAAGGAGGCGGCAACGGGCGGCAGCGGGCGGCAACGTGGCGAATCCTCGGCATACCCACACAGCGCACGAGGCGGCAAGAATGCAGCAACGAAGCGGCACCGGGCAACAGCGAGGCGGCAACGGTCGCTAACTTGGCGAATCCTGAGATTACATACGAAGGCGGCGACGGACAGCAACGTGGCGAATCCCCGGCACACCCCCACAGACGGCAACGGGCGGCAACGTGCGGCAACGGTGCACATCCTCGGCAGACTCCCACAGGCAGCAACGGGCGGTAACGTGGCGGCGTACCCTAAGGATACCCACACAGGCGGCAACGGGCGGCAATGGGCGGCAACGTGGCGAACCGTCGCCATAACAGGAAGCAACGGGCGGCAACGCACGCCCACGCACTCGGCCGCGTGTGGCAACATGCGGCAACGTGGCGAATCCTCGGCATACCCACACAGGCGACAACGTGCGGCAACGGACGGTACCGTGGCAAATCCTCGGCACACCCCCACAAGCAACAACGGGCGGCAGCGGGCGGAAACGTGGCGACTCCTCGGCATACCCCCACAAGCGGCAGCGGGCGGCAGCGGGCGGCAACGTGGCGAATCCTGGTGACCCCCACAAGCCGCAATGGGCGGCAACGGGCGGCAACGCGGCGATTCCTCGGCACCGGGCGGAAACGTGGCAAATCCCCGGCACATCCGCGCAGGCGGCAACAGCGGCAACGGGCGGCGACGTAGCGAATCCTTGGCATACCCACCCAATCCCTCAGAAGCACGAATACGAACCCCAAAAATGCAAGCACTGTCTGGGGAACATGGAACCAGGCTGGCGTTATAACGCGTCGTGGCAGTAAGTAGCCAGACCGCTGTAATTGAGCCACAGGATAAAGAGGCTGCGGCCATTTCGTGGCTACCTCGCGCCCATAGACAACAATTAGATCCACATGTAAGTATTCCGATCGGGTCATAGAAAGTCAGATATTATGGTAGAGAGTTGCGCAGCCAAAAGGTAAGATGCGTAACTATTAGCTGGATTGGCAATCACGTAGAGATGCCCTCGAAACCACCTTTTATCGCATGTGAGATGATGTGCGTGATCGCTTTCTCCCTTACGCTACTGTGCAAGTACGTGGTGTGATGCGGTTGGGAACCATGGTGTGTCGATGCGCCTGTAGCTGAGGTGTGTATGTGATGATCTAGTGTGATAAGCAGTTGCACACAAGTGTAGCCATGTAGTTGTACCAATGTTGATATATTTATGGAATCGCATAGTTGGTTCAATTGGTGAGCATGTGAAGCACACGGTTTGCCAATCAGACGTGAGGCCATCGCAAACCTATGCCTGCACCCATCCCCCCCCGCCAAAAGACAAACTCCCTCATCACTCGGAGAGGCGTACAGTCAATCGGAATACGAAGGTGTTCACGCACACGAACACCAGCGCTCCTTGCACCATCGACATCGCGGACCGCGTTGCGAATGGCAGCCGGTGGCGCCTTCCGCTGCCCTTGGTTCGCAACCGCACCATGAGTCCATCGAGCATGCGCCAACTCGCGCATGCTCAGAACGCAGAAAAATCAGGGGAGAGTTGATACCAAAGCGCACGCAAGGCTGGCATCGTGGATCTCCAGAGCCGGATGGCGGCGGTGCCAAACAGTGTGCCAGAATCGCTCGCGGCCCTCGGGCCCCCGAGCTGGCTCTCCGACACGGCCGAGTGCGTGCTGCAAAGAGCCCCGTCGCCTCGAAAGGAGGACTGCACGCAGTGCAAGGGCTGTCGAGCCTCCGCACAGCTCGAGGGACCTTCGCAGCTCCAGGAGCAACCGCCAGCGTTGGGCTCGTCCGTCGGCCCTGGCAGCTCGCCGAGGCACGGCAGCACAGATGCCACAAGGAGCCCGTTCGCCTCGACAGCAGAACTGCACGCAGTGCAGGAGACTCTCCAGCTCCCAGACAGCGAGGAGAACGTTGCAGCTGCAAGGCCGCCAACGCGTGACCCGAGCTGCGGCACTGGCAACGTGCCGAACAGAACGGCGACTACGTTGCTGCCACCTCGCTGTGGCCCTCGCGCAGTATGCTTCTTGGAATCACGGTCACGGCATCTATTTCCAGGCGGCTGGTGCCTTGCACCACGGACCATCGCGCTTCCGCATTCAAAGGGCATTGATCAAACCTCGTGCAGGAACATGATGCTCGTGTGCGCAATGACTGCAGCGCTGGAGGCGGCCAGAGGGTCTGAACTGGTTGGGACCACAGGAAATCTGTCAGGTGGGTGGATGAAACCAAATCTGCTCAAAATCAGTCAGTCCATGGACCCCTCCCGGGTCCACCTGGCGCAATTTTCACCCCGTATCTGTTGTTGATTGCCCTGGGGCCCAAAAATGGCCCCCAGAGGCCGAAAAAATCAGAAAGCCGTCCCGAACCCAGAACTTCGTAACTTGCTCCCTTCTCGCTGGCCGGACCAGCGCTAGGCCACCTCAGACCCCCAGACGGCTCCAGCGTTCGTGAGTCTTCAGGATAGTTGACGCAAGGCAGCGGCAAAGCGCAGAACTTCTACCCGCCATGCTCACGCTATCTTGCTCCGGTCGGCAGCGCGCCCCAGGGTGAGTGAGAGGGAGCAGGCCTTCTCGAAGGCAGCATGGCTTCTCAGAAGCCCTCCAGCCTTCTGAGCAGTTGCTATGTGTCTCCGGGGAAGGCTCAGAACTTCTCAGAAGGCCGGAGGCCTTCCGGGCCTTCTGAGAAAGCCCGCCCCTTCTCATTTCCCCCCAGGCTCGCCGCCCATCTGGCGCTGAGGTCGAGCGCGTGCAGCTCCACATTCATCTCCGTCATGACGGCACGCAGCAACGTCGCCTCCGCCACCCACAACGATGCGCTGTGGCTGACGACGCTCGGCTTCGCCGGGGCACGACTTCTTCTGTTACCCTTACTGTCGGTCTTAATCTTGCAAGAATCACAACAACCTGCCCCGCAAGGGGTCCCAACACGCGAGCCGGAAAACAATGACGCGCTTCATTGCGATTATCCTCCACGTGCGGCTTCCCAGCCTTTTAGCTGATGGCATTGGGTTTGGCCCATGTGGTTCAAATGTCCAACTGCTGGCAGCTGCTTCCCCCCTACCTCGCATGCAATGACTCCAAATCGATAACTGAGCGCGTTCACTTCTAGTTCCCTTCCCACCATTTCTGTGAACAGCGACAGAGCCTGTTGCCACCTCGTGCCCATCGCGAACGCACAGATACCAGCGTTGTAGCCGCCGATGTTGCCTTGCTCTTCCTCCACCTCCCAAAGCCCCCTCAACAACACTAGCGTTTGCTGCCACTGCCCACCTTTCATAGATGCGCTGATTCCAACAGCATAACTAACCGCGTCTGGTTCCAATTTCACTTCTCGCAGTTCCTCGAGCAGCAGCAACGAATGCTGCCATTCCCATTCCGCACACGCATCGATGCAAGCATTGTAGCTGCCGGTGTCTGGTACAACTGCCACCTGCCCAAGACTACGGATCAACGATAATGCTCGTTGCCACTGCCGGGCTTGCGCGCACGCACTTATGCCGGCATTGTAGCTGATATAGCTCGGTGCCACCTGGTTGTCCCACATCTCTTTGAGTAACATTAGCGCCTGCTGCCACCGCGCGCTTTTCTCGCACGCACTTATACTGGCACTATAACTAATCACATCCCTCTCAACGCGTGCTTCTTCCATTTGGAGTAGCAGCGCCAGCGCCTGCTGCCAATTCCTGCCCTTCTCGCATGCGCTGATTCCTGCATTGTAGCTGACCTGTAGAATCACGTCCACGACACCGCGTCGGCACGGTCCCTTGGCATGCTGCTACGTTCTGTTCGTTGCAGCCGCTTGCTGCTGCTCGCGGCGGCTTGCTGCAGCTCACTGCCGCTCGCTGCGGCTTCAGGCTGTTCGCTGCTTCACTGCTGCGTGCTGCTGCTACTTGCTAATGTTTGCTGCTAGCTGCTCCTGCCCGCTGCTGCGGCTGGAGAGCCTGGGGGCATTTCTGAAATCCCACCAGTCCTCTGGGCGTAGGTACTTTAACGAGACCTTACTTCTTTCCTCTTAGAAAGCCCTCTTCCCATTCGGGGAGTGGTTTACCCCTCCTCTAGCCCACTGCCGGGGGTCTGGTCAGCGGGGCCAAGGGGTTAGGGCGTCCAAGATGGCTCCTAAGAGGGCCCTCGACCCTCCAAGATGGTCTCCAGGATGGCTCAGGGTAGCAAACGGTACTTCAAAATAGCGTCCATCATGCATCCGAGAGGCCCCAAGAGAGCCGCAAGATGGTTCCAAGAGCTCTCGGAGATCCCCCATATGACGAACATTGACAACTGCCGAAAGGATTCAATGATTGCTGCCTTCTCGAATTTTCGCTTCCAATTGGATTTGAGGCCGCAAGATGGCCCAAGATGACCCAAGCGAGCCCCAAGAGGAGCCCAAGAGTCTCCAAAGACGGCCCCAAGAGCTCCCAAGAGCGCGCCAAGAGGCGCTGACGAGCATTCCTGACGGGGGCGGAAATCGGGGACACCCCCTCCTTTGATCGAGGGCCTCCAAGGTGGCCCCAAGAGGCCATTCAAGGCTCCCTAGAGGCCCCCCGACTTACCAGTTGCGGGAATCATTCATCCTGAGCGATAAAGGGGCTTCCGAGCGGGACACCCCTTCCCCCCGTAGACTCCTAGAAAAACGGCTTCGGCCTGGCTGGCCGAAGGAGCTTTCCAGGGTTCCGCGTGATGTGTAGTGTTTATAGATGTGTATATATATATATATATATATATATATATACAACAGTTTGGGCGAATATCTCTCCCCCCATCAATTCACAAGGGGGGAGCCACTCCCGGCCGAAACATGCAATTGTAAATATCTCCGTGTGTGCAAAACAACAACAACAACAACAACAACAACAACAACAACAACAACAACAACAACAACGAACGCATTACCCCAAGGCTACTTCTCACCACAACGTCCAGACATGCAAGCTCTAGCGATGAAGAACGTTTCGTAAAAGGGGATGTAAGCGGGCTCCAAAACGAGGGACCCCAAACACCTCAAAAGAGCCCTGTGAGGACCGCCGGGATTTCCACAAGGTCCCCAAGAAGGCCCCAGGAGGACACAACGAAAACCTCAAGAGGACCCCAAGAAGACTCACACATGGCTCCAAGATGTCCTCGTTGTCCTCAACCTCCTCTTCGTGTTCCTTGTCATCGTCCACGTCCTCGTCTTCGTCATTGTCGTCGTCGTCGTTCTTATACTCCTCCTCTTTGTTGTCCTCCGTCTCCACCTCCGCCTCCTACTTGCCCTGCCCTCCTCCTCCTGCTCCTCATCGTCGTCTTCATCATCATCATCATCATCATCATCATCATCATCATCATCATCATCATCCCCATCATGATCCCCACCACCTTCATCATCAGCAGCAGCCGCATCAGCAGCATCAACAGCATCAACATCGCCCTTGTCCTCGTCCTCGTGGCACCAAGACGACCGAAACATGGATCCTTCCGAGCGGCTGCTCCACTGAATTTCTTGGGGCCGCTTGGGCCATCTTGGACCTCTTGGTCTGGCCGAGGCGCCCATTGCCGCCTTCTTGGGCTGGCTGAAATTCAGACAGGGCCCCCCTGGGGCGCCTCTTGGGGCCGTGTTAGCGCAACTCGGAGCTCTAAGAAGGCTCGTTTGTCGGACGTCTTGGCCCCCTCTGAAGTCTTCTTAAAGATCTCAGACTCTCCTGGGCCATCTTGGAGCCCTCTGGGGGCCCTTCTTGGGCCGTAGTGAAGTCTGCGTGGGACTGTGCCCAGCCACCCGCCAACTAGAGGGCTCTCCGAAGCCTTCCTGGGCCGAAGAGGCTGGGAAACGAAGAGCTCCAACGGCTCGGCCTTGCACTTTGAAGACGAATCCGTCGATCCCTGCTAGCCGGGGTGAGAAAGCGTGTGAGAAATCTGGCTGCCCCCCTCCCCCTGCTTCCCCCCCCCCTCCCCAACCGCCCAAACTCGCGTTTTGAAGGACGGCGAGGGGGGCGACGAGCTCACTGGTGGGGGGGCGAGGTCTGCGACGAGCTCACCAAAAGCCCCTCCCGTCCCTGGTAACGGCTACAACTGCTTCCGCACGACGGGAAGCAAGAAACAACACAGGCGAAATCGGAAGCCGCGCAAACGCATGTCCCGATCTGAGGGTCGGCGGAATGGCGCAAGCCTCTTGAACACAAGCAGTGGCAAGGAGAAGAGATCAGAGGAAGGGCGACGAGGAGGGATGATGACAGATGGATGAGGAGAACGACGAGCAAGAGAAGGCAGAAGAGGAGGGCGGGGACAAAGGAGCAGGGCGAGGAGTGGGAAGGAGGTCGGGGAAGCAGCAGCTACGATGAGGGTGAATGCGGAAGAAAGGGAAGATTAGGAGGAGCACGAGGAGGAGGAGGAGGACAAACGAGAAATGAGGAAAGGAATGGGTCATAAGAAAACGAGGCGGGATGATGATGACGACGAAAATGATTTGAAGCCAAACTGCCCACCCCAGAAAGATCGCTGGATACCCGAATATCTTAACAACAAGTGTTATGAACCGGAACAGTGGTAAGCCCACGAGTAGTGGGAATAAGATCATGCGTGCGGACGGGACTAGGGATACAGATAAAGGGTACGCGTTGAGGGTTATGAGTAGGGCACGGTGGGACTCGGAGCAGGGAGTGGAGTTGGAGCACCAGCAGTGTCAGTACCACCGAACGTTGGAGTCATAGTACCTGCAGGGGTTGCAGTACGAGTGTGAATGGAAGTAATGTCATTTGGGAAAATAATACGGCTACTATGAGGACTTCAAGGAAGACCATGGCCAGAGAAGAAAGACGAATAATACGAATACAAATAGTAGTAAGAATTAGAAGAGCAAGAAGATCTTTTCCCCCGAGAGCGATGACATCTGCCAGCTTACCAACTGATGGGAATAGGACTCCACCAAGCATAACCTGCTATGCACCCGCCCTCGGCTGCAGAGCCAACCAAATTTGCGTCACGAAGCTCGGCCCCAAAAAAAACAGGTATCTGTCCCCGCCGCGTGGCCGACAACCTGCGCACGCTCGCGCTGAATACGGCGGGCTGCAGCCTCCAAATCGGGGGGCGCTGGAACGCTCAACCAAAAGTGAAGCGAACTTGTGAGGACACAGGGAGGAGGCACTCCGCGAATACGAAGCCCCTTTAGAACGAATCGGCCGGGCGGCGGCACGGAAATTGTGTTATAACCCCTCCTAGGTGGCCCAAACGGCCAAGCTAATAAATCCAACACAACAGCAGGCCAGAATGGAGGGGTCAAGGAGGAGGAAGAGAGAGAGGAGGAGAGAAGGCAGACTAAAATACTGGCCGCGACCTATTCACAGCCGAAGGCTCCACAAGTCGGCAAACCAACTACAGTGACAGGCGAGGTACCGCCAGGAGCGCAGAACCGCAGCCGCCGAAAACACTAGAGTCAATAAAATGATTGTAAAGGCGGGGCCCCGGCGCCCCGCAGACATGCACGCCCGGAGCGGAGCCTAGCACGTGCGGGCTGGCACGCGAAAGCAAGACGAAAAAACAACTCTGACCACTAAGGCATGCACGAGAGAAAGGAAGAGGGAGAGAGAGAGAGAGAGAGAAACAAAAAAAGGAGGCGAGGACATGCGAAGGAACCGCAGCGCCGCCTGACGCAAAAAGCTGCGGCGCCCTCACATAATCACGTAGGAGTCGGCCTGGAGGGACCACTCGGCAGCGCCCAGCGTCGACCTGTCGTTGGTACTGGAACCACTCGCCGAAGTAGAGGTGGCGGCGCGACTCCGCCGTGGTGGCCCCATCGTGGTGAGCGCCGTTACCCACCTGGAACGGGCTGCTGTTGCCCATCAAGCTGATCAACGTTGTGATGCTGGAGCCCGTCTTGTTGCTGAATGTCATGGTGATGGGATCCCTGGGGCTGCCAGCCCAGATACTAGAGTCCATAGTGCTAGGTGCTGGCATGGTGCCCGGGTGTGTCATAGAGGTCAGTGGTAGCGCTCAATTCCGTAGTGCTTGACTCCGTCATGGCGGACGCCGTGGAACACTTTTGATTCGGGCAGCTCCAGGGTGCGGCGCTGGCGTCGGTGGTGGCGTCGGCGCTGGTGTTGGCCCTGGCGCTAGCGCTGGCGCCGGACCTGGCGTCGGAGCCGGTGGAGGCGCTTGCGTTGGAGTCAGCTGAGGCGCAGGTGATGGTGCTGGCGTCGTTGCTGGCGTCGGCGCTAGCGTAGTCGTGAGCCAGGCAACACACCAGTACGCTGGCGTCGGTGGTGGCGCCGTCGCTGGAGTGGCATAGGCGCACGTGCTGGCGTCTGTGCTGGCGTCGGCGCGGGTGTATACCGAGTCGTGAATCTCACCGTGGATCTGGTCGTGGATGTCGCCGTGCGGCTACTGGCACGTGGGGTGCAACTCGACAGAAGTCAAAAGTGCATCGAAATACCTGTGCAATTAGCAGTAGCGCTGCTCGTGCTGCCCGGGCTCACCTTGCTGCTGGCTGGTGTCGTGAAGCTCCTCGTGGAACTGGCCGTGGATGTCGCTTTGCTACTGCTGGCCTGCGCGGTGCTGCTCGAGCACGTTACAGCCGTACCTATGCTATTAGAAGCGGCGCTGCTCGTCCAGACAGTGCCCGCACTGCACGTAGGCGTCTGCGCTGATGTAGGCGCAGGCGTTGGTGTCACCGGCATAGGCACCACATTGGTGCTGACATCGGTGCTTGGTGCCGGCGTAGGCGCAGGTGTTGCTGCTGGCGTCGGTGCTGACGTCG